CGCAAAATCCAAGAGGTGACTGATATACTGCAAGCAACTGCAGGTTCAGTTTATCTCGCTTTCAGCACTATCAAAAGGCCACCACCCTGTTTACCTGGGCGAGGATGAACAGAACCAATGCAAAAAGGTAGCATCCAATTACGTTCAACTTTGAGTAGACCCATCGAAATCAATGGATCTCTGCTAGCCCATGTCCCTTCTTTTCAAAAATTTTTGGAGAAATTTACATGCTCACTGATTGTAAAAACGACAACCCCAAAAACCTAAAAGGGGTTTACAGTGGTACCTCTAGATACGAACGGGATTCGTTCCGGAGCCCCGTTCGCATCTAGAGGTAAACATATCTAGCGATGGCACGTCTGCGCGCACACGCATCACTTTTCGGCGCTTCTGCGCATGACATCATTTTGAGCGTCTGCGCATGCGCAAGCGGCGAAACCCGGAAGTAACGCGCTCCATTACTTCCGGGTTGCCGCGGAGTGCAACTCGAACGCGCTCAACTCAAAGTGTATTTAACACGAGGTCTGACTGTACAAATGAAGAATTAAATTATCAGTAAAAACAGTTAAAAACAACTATTTAATTAAAAAACAAAACCAGTGATAAACAACAACAAGAAGAAGATTAAAACATACACCAGCATTCTGCATATTTGGGGAGGCTTGTCCGAAATGTTTTTTGCAGACACCAAAAAGAGTACAGCGAAGGCACCTGCCTGATGCCAAGATTCAGGGAGTTCCAAAGTCAAGGTGCTGCCACCCTGAAAGGTAAGTTTTCTTACAAATATGGAACAGATATTGGTGTGGCACTTGTAACAGTGCCAATTCCACAGATCGAAGTGGTCAAATTGGGATATATGGAGGAAGACAATCTCACGAGCGAATGAGTCTCAACTTATTGAGGGCTTCGTACGGTGGTACCTCAGGTTAAGTACTTAATTCGTTCTGGAGGTCCGTTCTTAACCTGAAACTGTTCTTAACCTGAAGCACCACTTTAGCTAATGGGGCCTCCCGCTGCTGCTGTGCCGCCAGAGCACAATTTCTGTTCTCATCCTGAAGCAAAGTTCTTAACCCAAGGTACTATTTCTGGGTTAGCGGAGTCTGTAACCTGAAACGTCTGTAACCTGAAGCGTCTGTAACCTGAGAATACCACTGTATTTGGGAAAGAAACTACTTTTGCCATACTTATGGACATTTATTGTTTGTTTACAGATAGTTGTCTTGGTGATATTATCTTGCGTCAATTAGTCATTGTACAGTGGAACCTCGGTTTTCAAACGTAATCCGTCCTGGAAGACCGTTTGACTTCCAAAACATTCAAAAACCGAGAAGCACCACTTTAGCTAATGGGGCCTCCTGCTGCCACAACGCCACTGGAGCACGATTTCTGTTCTCATCCTGAAGCAAAGTTCTTAACCCCAGGTAATATTTCTGGGTTAGTGGAGTCTGTAACCTGAAGCTTCTGTAACCTGAAGCGTATGTAACCCGAGGTACCACTGTATACTAATAGCAACTGGAAACCAGTAAAGGTGACTGAGCACAGCAGGGCTGTTGTGGGAATTAAGTAAGGAGAAAGAGAACCATGTTTAACACATTGAGCTCATGGGCAGGAAAGGAAGGATAAAAATGGAATAGATAAAGAATAAGGTCTGATCAGCTGCTGGTGAAATCAACTGAATCCAACCAACTGGATAGCTCAGTTGGTTAGAGCATGGATTGATCATGCCAAGGTTGCAAGTTTGATCCCCATATGGGACAGCTGCCGGTTCCTGCATTGCACGAGGCTGAACTAGATGGTCTTCAGGGTCCCTTCCAACTCTACAATTCTAGGATAACCTAGAATTCCCCCCCCCAAAAAAAAATGTTTAGGGGTACTCTCCTTTTGACTCAAGAAAATCACCATTTTATAGTTCAAATCATAAAGACCATAAAGAAGGCTGATCGCCGAAGAATTGATGCTTTTGAATTATGGTGCTGGAGGAGACTCTTGAGAGTCCCATGGACTTCAAGAAGATCCAACCTATCCATTCTCAAGGAAATCAGCCCTGAGTGCTCACTGGAAGGACAGATCCTGAAGCTGAGGCTCCAAGACTTTGGCTACCTCATGAGAAGAGAAGACTCCCTTGGAAAAGACCCTGATGTTGGGAAAGATGGAGGGCACAAGGAGAAGGGGACGACAGAGGACGAGATGGTTGGACAGTGTTCTCGAAGCTACCAGCATGAGTTTGACCAAACTGCGGGAGACAGCGGAAGACAGAAGTGCCTGCCGTGCTCTGGTCATGAAGAGTCAGACACGACTAAACGACTAAACAACAACAAAATAGTTCAAATCAGGAAAAATAAATACAGCAAATGGATAAAAGTGCAGTCGTACCTCGGAAGTCGAACGGAATCCGTTCCAGAAGTCCGTTCGACTTCCAATACGTTCAAAAACCAAAGCGTGGCTTCCAATTGGCTGCAGGAAGTTCCTGAGCCAATCAGAAGCCACGTCAGACGTTCGGTTTCTGAAAGAACGTTCGAAAACCGGAACACTCCCTTCTGGGTTTTGATTGTTCGGGAACCAAAACCTTCGAGAACTAGGCTGTTCGAAAACCAAGGTATGACTGTACAAAGATGTTTGTAAAATGTTTAGGGGGTCCCACCAGGAAAAAAGCACTGATAACGATAATTCCTTCCACCACCACCACCCTGCGCTTCGAACTTCAGCGGTTTTCAAATCCTTTGAACTCTGCCAGGTTATCAATGTTAGCAACAAAGCAAATTGTATTCTTCCCCTCCTCCTCGGCCATCAACTCCGATGGAAGACACAACAGATGTATGGAGAAGAGACTCTAGAATTACATAATGGAAAGGAATTGCTGAAACAATTAACAGAAGTGGAATACAAAAAGGGAGGTGTGAGGAGGTCGTGGAAATAAGTGAATGAAAGATAAGATATTGAAATTGTTTGATGTGTTTTAAACTGTTTTTGTTTTGTTTTGTTAGTTTAATGTGTTAGTGTTATGTAGTGTCTCTGTATTGTACTGTTCTTTTTTTTTGTAGTGTTTAAATTGTTGGAAAAGTAATAAATATTTTTTTTTTTTAAAAAAAGAGAGACTCTAGAATTACATAAACCAAAATAGGTGATCGAGTCTGCATCTTAAAGCGCTTGCTGCCCTCTTGTGGCAAGCGACCAGCAAAAGAGAAATCAAGAAAACAGGGAATGTATGACTCGCTTAAGATATTTACCGTCGTCCCTTCTGCTTATTGCACACCATCAACACTGATTGAAATCTACAGTGGGGCTTTGCTGTCTAGAAGTCACCGTTCTTATATGGCCTCTGTTAACTCAACGTTCTGAGTTTAACTACTGCATCGATATCCCACCGCTTTTCTCTCCCAGGAGCTCAAGGTAGTGTCTATGGTTCTCCCCTCCCCATTTATCCTCATAACAGCCCTGTGAGGTAAGTTAGCCTGAGAGGCTGTGACTGGCTCAAGGTCACCCAATGAGCTTCATGTCAGAGTGGGAGGATTTGAACTCTGCTCTCCCAAATCCTAGCCTGACACCCTTAACTGTTGTACCACACTGGTTCACTCAATCATGCCATTTGACCAAAATGTATTTAATAAAACAGAACAATTTCAATATATACACACACACACACACACATATATATATACACACACACACATATATATACATTATATATATATATATATATATATACACACACACACATATATATATACACACACACATATACACACACACACACACACAAACACATATATATATACATATAAACACACACACACATACACACACACACATATATTCTCCTTGAAAATACCACTCCTCCATCAAATTAGCTCCATCAAATTATCGGTTTCCAATTTTGGGCTACCACCCTAACAGAAAAGGATAAACTCCGATAAAGCATTTTTATTGGAGCTTCTTCTAAAACTCTTCAATCACTGTCTACCACGTATGTCCACTGCATATGGCAACATGGACCTAGTCTCCCACCCTCCCAAAATTTGGGGCGGCACTGAAATATTCATCTCAGAGTCAGATGTCACACATGAACCAATCTAAAAGAATTATCTTTAAGCTTTGCTGATGAGGAAGGAAATGGGAGTTTTCTCGCACACTTTTTCTGAATCTATCCCCTTACTAATATCCTGACATAGACAAGCAAGTGCCCCAGCAGACTGAGCCAGCAAAACGTTATACAGTGGACCCTCCGGATACAAATTAAATTGATTCCGGAGGTGTCCACAACCCAAAAAGTCCATAGGCAGAGGCGCCGCTTCTGCGCATGCGCACGGCACACAGAGCGCATCTGCGCATGCGAAGAAACCCAGAAGTATACACTTCCAGGTTTGCCGTGTTTGTAACCCGAAAGTTACATATCCAGAGCGGTACGTAACTAGAGGGTCCACTGTACAGTGGTACCTTGGTTCTCGAATGGCTTACAGTGGTACCTCAGGCTACATACGCTTCAGGTTACAGACTCCGCTAACCCAGAAATAGTACCTCGGGTTAAGAACTTTGCTTCAGGATAAGAACAGAAATCGCGCAGCGGTGGCAGCGGGAGGCCCCATTAGCTAAAGTGGTGCTTCAGGTTAAGAACAGTGTCAGGTTAACAATGGACCTCCAGAACGAATTAAGTTCTTAACCTGAGGTACCACTGTAGTTGACAAACAAATCGGTTCCCGAATGCCACAAACCTGGAAGTAAGTGTTCCGGTTTGCAGACGTTTTTCAGAAGCCGAATGTCCGACGCGACTTCTGCTTGAGTGCAGGAAGTTCCTGCAGCCAATCGGAAGCCGCGCCTTGGTTTTCGAACAGTTTCGGAAGTCTACCAGACTCCCGGAACGGATTAAGTTTGAGAACCAAGGTACCACTGTACGTTCCTTCTTGCCCCTGGGATATTCAAGGCAAGGAACCACCGCAAACGTCCCATGCTCTGGGGAAGAAATATTATCACTCACGTGGGAGACCTCGATCTGCGACACTTACGTTTTCCCAGGAGACCTTTTCAGCCAGAAGAGATCGTCACTCGTAATCCCATACTCCCGTGCTCCTGCGATCTAAGAGAAAGAACAAAAGAAAGGTGCAACCATCATAAGCAGACAAGAGCAGGCCTGCTGGGTCAGGCCAAAGGCCCATCTAGCCCAATGTCCTGCTCTTACAGTGGCCAAACAAATGCCTAAAGGAAGCTCTCCAGCAACTCCTGGGTGTTTTCCACCCCAGATTCCTGGAAACTGGTGCCGAGAGGCACACTGCCATAATTTGCCCCTGCCTACCACCAGAATGTAGGGACATGAGTGGCGCTGTGGGTTAAATCACAGAGCCTAGGGCTTGCTGATCAGAAGGTCGGCGGCTCGAATCCCCACAACGGGCTGAGCTCCCGTTGTTCAGTCCCTGCTCCTGCCAACCTAGCAGTTCGAAAGCACGTCAAAAGTGCAAGTAGATAAATAGGTACCACTCCAGCGGGAAGGTAAACGGCGTTTCTGTGCGCTGCTCTGGTTCGCCAGAAGCGGCTTAGTCACGCTGGCCACATGACCTGGAAGCTGTACGCCGGCTCCCTCGGCCAATAAAGCGAGATGAGCACCACAACCCCAGAGTCGGTCACGACTGGACTTAATGGTCAGGAGTCCCTGACCACTACCGGAATGTGGCCCTCACAAGGTTGCCCAGAAGACCATGTGGCCCTTGGGCTGAGAGTGTTTACCACCACTGCCGTAACTTGCAAATCAGGATCCATGCCTTGGTATAGGTGTGATTGCTTTCTCTCCCCTCCTTGTTGCAAATCTCCCGCTCCCTTCACCGTGGTTTGACAGTTGTACTGCCGCTAACCATGGTTGACACCAGCCAGGGTTGGATTAATGCAAAAAACTTACGTTTGTGGGATATTTAGGCCTTCCGCCCGTGGCAAGGACTATGTTTTCTGCTGTGAGCAATGCCTGGGGATAAAAAATGAAAATAAATCAAGAAGGAGAGTTTAAAGGAAAGAGCTGCCATCAAGCCCGAGCATGTGTACACTATTCAAAAGGATCCTTTACTGTATTTGCAAAACTATTAAAACTACATTTTATTTTATTTAAAAACAAAGGAAATATAGCCAAGAAACTTACCTCTTTGCCTTTCATCAGCCCACGAATTGTGTGTGGATCCACAAAACTCCCTTTCAGGTTTAAGTATTTCACTTTCCTATTATAATGAAAAAAGAAAACAGGAGCTTCAATGCTACTCTCTTTGCAGCACGATCCTCAACCTGGGTAGATCCGAATCGCCTTGATCTGGGATTCAGCTGGATCTGGTGCACGTCCTGACCTAATTACGTCCATTGGTAACACAATGGTTGATACTTATTAAGTAAAAACAGTTTGACTGCGTGAGAAAGAAGAATTGCATTTACTTATCCTGCAGCTGTACCCTGTGGCCCCAGTTCAAGGATTTGACGTGGTTTTGAACAGCTTTTGACATTGCAGACCTGGGAAGAAAGAAGAGGAATGTTATATTTGATTTAAAACAAAACAGGCCATGAAGAATCACAGAATACTAGAGCTGGAACACGAGGATCATCTAGATCAGGAATGTAGGAATCTTTCACCCAACGAGGGGCTCGAACCCACGAGATTAAGAGTCTCAGGCTCTGCCCACTGAACTATCCCTTGTTTTAAGAGAATAATGAGAGAAAAGGCACATCTGCTAGATATTTTGTAGAAGACGTTCACCTGTCTGTTCTCTATGTATCCAAACATCTCTTAAGCAAATCATAAGCAAATTTGGCATGATGGTTTTTGCCTATGTTTTGATAACCGATTTCAAAATGGAAGATGGCAGGCAAAGGCTTTCAAAGCTTTTGCACTGCTTCTGATAACCGATTTCAAAATGGCCCTGACTTTTGTTTGGTTTCCAAGCAACACCAGGTATGAGGCTGCAGTTTCCCATAACCGCATGTGGAAAAGGCAGTGCGGAGGCCACAATATGTGCAAAAGCGCCACCTGAAGCCATGGTCAAGTTACATGACACTGCGCGTGCAAGAACCAGAGCATAGTCACCTCATGGACTGCCCAGCAGAGTGTTGAGCTGGCCCAGGAATATATTCTGCTTATTTATTTTTTATTTGAATAGATTCATCTATCGCTGAATTGATTTTTAAACAACAACAACCATGCACTTTACATAAAACCATATAAAATATTCATTTAAGAACTCTCATAAAATTAATACATTAAAAACAAATTGGCATACAAATTTATCAAAGTACAAATAAAACCAGCAGTTCTAAAAACAAATACACATAATAAACCTACAGTGGTACCTCGAATTAAGAACTGAATTCGTTCTGGAGGTCTTAACCTGAAACTGTTCTTAACCTGAGGTACCACTTTAGCTAATGGGGCCTCCCGCTGCCACCGCGCCGCCACCACCACATGATTTCTGATCTTATCCTGAGGTAAAGTTCTTAACCTAAGGTACTATTTCTGGGTTAGTCTGTAACCTGAAGCATCTGTAACCTGAGGTACCACTGTACTTGTTAAAATTGCATGTCGTAATTGCACGGCTGGGTAGCCTTGCCTAAACAAAAAAGCTTTTTAGCCAGTGCCAAAAAATCATTCCACCAAGACGCTTTCCTTAATATCAATGGGCAGGGAGTTTCAGAGAGCGGGTGCTTGCAAGTGTAGCCAAGAGGGACAAAAAGTATTATGCAACCTCATATGGAAATGTGGAAACTGGCCCTTGTTCAAGTGCCACGTGTTTCCATATGAGGTTGCATAATACTTTTTGTCCCTCTTGGCTTGCATCTTATTTGCAGTTCACCAGGGCCTTAGCCAGAAGGGTCTTTTCCATCCTTTGCCACCTGATCCATCTCAACTGCAGATGCCAGATAATAGACACAAGACCTTCTCCACCCAAAAGCCTGGCCTCTCCCCAACAATGTCAGAAGCAGTTGTTGTTGTTTAGTCGTTTAGTCGTTTCCGACTCTTTGTGACCCCATGGACCAGAGCACGCCAGGCACTCCTGTCTTCCACTGCCTCCCGCAATTTGGTCAAACTCATGCTGGTAGCTTCGAGAACACTATCCAACCATCTCGTCCTCTGTCATCCCCTTCTCCTTGTGCCCTCCATCTTTCCCAACATCAGGGTCTTTTCCAGGGAGTCTTCTCTTCTCATGAGGTGGCCAAAGTACTGGAGCCTCAGCTTCACGATCTGTCCTTCCAGTGAGCACTCAGGGCTGATTTCCTTCAGAATGGAGTCAGAAGCAGTAGGGCCTCCTAATTTATAAGCAGTCCAGCGAGAGGCGCTGGCTGCTCTTCCTCCTCCTAAGTCTCAGTACTGCCTTTGTAGAACTCAACAGCGAGAAGGCAGGAAGCAAAACCAGAATTAGTGGGCTCTGTCCGTCATTAGCGCTGTCTCCACCTCTCCCTGTTTCCACTTTGTGCTGGACTTTCTCTCCTTCCTGCTGCACTGGTCCTAGTTGGCACCAGCCTCCACTGTCTTTTCAGAAATTGAACCCAGAGCTTCCCCACCACCCCACTGCTGATTTCCGTGCCTCCCCCGGTTCCATTCCCCCTCCTCCCCTTCCGAAGCTCCAGCCGAATTCTTTAGCGCTCTGGATAATACAAGGCGGCGTTAGAATCCTGCTGTTTATTTTACCACGCTGCACAGTAACCAGCTTTCAATTTGATTTATCTGCAAGCGCTGTGAGCTATTACTTAGGGAATGATTGCAAATCAAGACCATAAATAAAGGCACCTTCTGGGCAAAGACGCCAGGCTGAAAACGGAACAGGAGAAGAACCCGGAATTTCCATGCAAATATCTGAGTCCGTTTGCCCTGAAGGCACAAGTGTAGGCCCTGGATGGAGAATGCCACCACGCCTCTGTTCATGCAGCGCTTTCTTATTGGATGATAAGTACAGCTAGCAAGGGGCGTGGCTCTATTTGAGGGCCAGAGAGAAACTCCCGGAGGGCCACATTCAGCCCCAGTCGTGAGGTTTCCCTGCCTTGCACTACTAACCCACTAGGAGCTTTCCATGGTGCTGAACTTGTGCTGTTTTTTCCTGAACCCAACTTTCCTGGCCTCTCTCTCCATACACCTGACTTGATCTGATTCGACTCCTCCTGCTGTGAATGTGCCCGATGCGTCTGCCTGATGAGCTTTCGCTCAATTCAGGCCACATCTGCAGCATGCATTTAAAGCACTATTATACTACTTGGACAGTCACCAACTCCCCCGAAAGATTCCCAGGAACTGTATTTCCCCCTGTAGAGCTACAACTCCCAGAGGGGTTTAAAAACCAGGGAATTCAGGCACTGTAACTCTGTGAGGAGAACAGGGGTCTCCTAACAACCTGCAGTGCCCTTAAGAAACGACAATTCGTAGGATGCTTTTGTGGAAGCCCTGGTTAAAACGATATGGTAGTACAGTCATACCTCAGGTTACAGATGCTTCAGGTTGTGCGTTTTCGGGTTGTGCACCGCGCCGAACCTGGAAGTACCGGAACGGGTTAGTTCCGGGTTTCGGCGCTCGCACAGAAGCACTAAATCACGCTTTGCACATGCGCAGAAGCGCCGAATCGCGACCCGTGTGTGCCCAGACGCGGCGCTGCAGGTTGCAAACATGCCTCCCATGTGGATCATGTTCACAACCCGAGCGTTCACTGTATTTTAAATGTACAATGCAGATGTGGCTTAAATTAAGTCTAGGACTGCTCCCCACACCCTATCCCCATGAACTCCAGGCCTCCCCAGAACAAGATGCGAGGCATCGGGGCAGAGTATTATGTGTACTGGACAGATTGCGTCCAGGTTTGTTATCCCAAAACAAATGACCACAGTTCTTAGTTATTCCAGAAGAAATGTGGTGTTCCCTCCATCGCATATATGTGGAACACCATAAAGTAGGAATGGGGAATCTGTGGGTCTCCAGATGTTGTTAAGACTCCAAATTCCACCACTTCCAGCTGGCAAGGCCACTGGTCAGAGGTGATGGGAGTCGTAGTTTAGAAACAACTATAAATTCCCCCGTCCCTTCAGTAAAGGAGATAAATGGGATTCATTTTACCAGTCATGGTTCACAGGATAGGATACATTCCAGCCATAGCGCTGGGCGTCTTTGAGAGAACTTCCCAGAAGAGCTGCTTGGTGCATCAGCTTCTTAGGAATGCAACCAACGTTCACACAGGTTCCACCAAGACCCCATTTGGTTCCTGCGGAAAAACAGAAAAAAACGGACGCATGTTTTCAGTGCCCCAGCCTGGCCTTAAAACGGCATATATAAATATTGTTATTATTTGAATTTAGGCCCCACCTTTCCTCCCCAAGGGACGCGGGTGGCGCTGTGGGTTAAACCACAGAGCCTAGGACTTGCCGATCAGAAGGTCGGCAGTTTGAATCCCCACGACGGGGTGAGCTCCCGTTGCTTGGTTCCAGCTCCTGCCAACCTAGCAGTTCGAAAGCACGTCAAAGTGCAAGTAGATAAATAGGTACGGCTCCGGCGGGAAGATAAACGGCGTTTCCGTGTGCTGCTCTGGTTCGCCAGAAGCGGCTTCGTCATGCTGGCCACATGACCCAGAAGCTGTACGCCGGTTCCCTCGGCCAATAAAGCGAGATGAGTGCCGCAACCCCAGAGTCGGTCACGACTGGACCTAATGGTCAGGGGTCCCTTTACCTTTACCTTTCCTCCCCAAGGAGCCCAGGGCAGCAAAGAGATACACAACTTAAAGCAAATACAACACCATCCGAAAACAGTGAAAACTTCCTAAAACCAATCTGTATTTTGATTCATATTGTTAAGTGCCACTCCAATCTTCGCGGAGCCGCTACACGAGATTTGAGTCGGTGCAGGCGTACCTTTGGCAATGAGGCACAATGACGGCTATAGTGTATTGATCATATAAGGCTTATTTACACATTTATAAAATCATAAAATTGTAGAGTTGGAAGGGACCACAAGGGTCATCTAGTCCAACCCCCTGCAATGGAGGAATCTTGCGCCCAACCTGAGCCTACTTATGGAGGTGCTCGTAGCAGCAGCACCCCATGATGTGACAGCTTATTTCATAGCAGCAGCAACGAAAACCCAGCACCATCCTTTCTCTGCAACCTATCCTGTGCTGCAGGGCACAACCCAGATTAACTGTTCTTTTCTCTGCTTCCTGGTTACATCCCTTTTGACCCCAACCCTATAGCTTCCCAGCTTTTCATTTCTACCTCAGGAAGAGGCCTCACACCTGCATTCTTACGCCTATTTCCTTTGATCCTGTGTTGGGTTAATGCCTAATCCTTTGATGCTCTGAACTCCCTAATTGTTTATCCCCCTCAGGCATTCACCTCACAAAGAAGTCTGTCCGACTCCATTAACACTTGTTGATTTTGCTAGGATTGCAATGTCCAAGGCACAACTCATGAAGCCGTTCCTGGGTTAGCTCTTCACATATGCTAATTCCAGGGGCTTGGCAGTGGCTAACCCCTCTCTTAAATACGCAGGAGTCTGGCTATTGCCAGTCATAACGTACCAGTTCGAATTAAATTCTAAACAATGATTAAACCCAAGCATTTAGCAACCACAGATCCATAACAATATATTACATGATGAGGGTGATGATGACCGAATTGTTTCTTACCTTTCGGAGATGGTTCCACATAATCTAACACAGCTACCTTCTTTCCAAATTGGGAAGCTTCAGAAATAAAAAGAAATCATAGAGTTATTTTAAAGGAAAGAGTAAGGCATCACCATTAGGGTGCCAATGTTTTTTTTGGGGGGGAGGTTTGTTACTTTGGTGAGTTATGTTTTGCCACTGCCTGTACCCAACATCCACTGCACCTTACTGTAATCACAGTGCATTTCATTTCATTTCACTTCATTCTCACTTTTAATTTGTATACCGCCTTTCTATATTACTATGAATAAGGCAGTCTATAAGTTGAAGAAACAAACAAATAAACAGAAAATACAATGAAGGTGATACGGAAGGGGGGGCATGTCTTCTTCACCTTCTTCTTCGCTACAATATATCCATTTATTTCCAATTGTCAATGTCAAAAGGGACTAAAATCTATAAAATTCATAGAAAACCAACGTGCCAATTTGCTCAATTTCTCTAGGACTCCATGGCACCTCCCCTGTCCTCCATAATCCCTCAAGCAAGGTGTCAAGACCCTAATTCTGTCAAATCACTCTGCCAAGCCTTTCCTCCGGGCAATGCCAGGTGGCAGACTATGCATACATGGACCATTGTCTTCTCATCACCGGTACTCAGGATGTGCTTATCTGCGCATATCTCCAGCTCTGCATATTCCCCCTCCCTCCTCCATATGTTACTCCTGTGTAACCCAACCTCTTCTTAATGTATTCATGATGTAATCTGTGTAACCCAACCTCTTCTTAATGTATTCATGATGTAACTGGGATGTATTTTGCACTGTATTCTGGGACATGGAGGGAAGTTTCAAAAGTTCATGTCACCCCTTTCTCGCTGTTCAATCTCGCCTTGAACCTGTTGCGCAATAAACTTTGATCCAATACAAAGAAGCATAGCTATAAAATGAACAATAAAGTAATATCCAACAGCCCATTAGAGTACACAATAACTTAAATTTAGAATACAGTATTACACAATAAATTAAATAACCAAGAGCTGGCCAAGACGCTGTTCCCTTATTTTCATTCCAAATTTCAATGACGGTAACTTTGCTGTCAAATTATGATGTTCCGCAATAAATCAGGCCAGAGGTAGCCAATATACCGTACTTTTCTGTGTATAAGACTAGGTTTATTTTCTACTCAAAAACAAGGTTTAAAAAACTGGGGGCGTCTTATACATGGGTAGTGGGTAGGGGTGACGGGTGATTGGTTGCAACTGTGAGCTGCAGATTGTCACTGGCGAACTGCAATGTGATTGGTGGCTGTGGCGAAGGGTCGCTTTGTACTGGCTGTGGGAAATGCGTGTGTGATTGGTTGCTGCGGCAAGAGCTGCTATTTACTTCCGCTGTCAGCGATCGGGTAGACGCTTGTAGCAGATGTGAGCGATGGTTAGCAAGCGGTGCGAGCGATTGTAATCGTCGGGCTAGTAATTTACTGCATACCTCCCCCCATAAAAACTCAACAACTCTTCTCAATCCTCCCCCTCAAAAGCAACAACTTTCGGTCATTTTCTGAAATTGGAGTCCCCAAAATAGGGGGGGCATGTTATACAAGAAGAAGAAGAGTTTGGATTTGATATCCCGCCTTTCACTCCCCTTTCAGGAGTCTCAAAGCGGCTCACATTCTCCTTTCCCTTCCTCCCCCACAACAAACACTCTGTGAGGTGAGTGGGGCTGAGAGACTTCAAAGAAGTGTGACTGGCCCAAGGTCACCCAGCAGCTGCATGTGGAGGAGCAGAGAAGCGAACCCGGTTCCCCAGATTACAAGACTACCGCTCTTAACCATTATACCACACTGGCTCTCCCATACCAGGGGGCGTGTTATACACAGGAAAGTACGGTAATCTCTCTCTGGGTGTTTTGGGCTATAGTTTCCATCAGTCCCAGCCAGCACAGCCAATGGTTAGGGATGATTGGAATTGTGGTCCAACAAAACCAAGAGGAAACACTTTGGCTCCTGTGATCTACATTAAACACTACTGCTGCTTGATTCTTAATTGCAACCTCTGGGATGTAGCAGAGGTGCAAAGGGCCTCCGTTCTCCCTATCAAGCTGTTCTTTGCCTATGGCACCATCCATGTCTTCCTGTCCCTCTTCTTCATCTGACAACACCTGCCGCCCCAGCCCCAAGCCAGTCAGGGTAGTGGGAATCACAAGCCCTCCATTAAAAGCAATCCGGACCACCAGTCGTCTGCAGCCCCACAAAGGAAAGGTGACCTAGGTTCTGCTGGACCACAACTCCCATTGTTCCTGACCATTGGTCATGCTGGCCAGAGCTGATTGCAGTTGGGAGTCCAAAAAAATATGGGAGAACCAGACTGGCTAATCACCCTGAGCTAGAGCAACAAAAGGATGCGGGTGTCGCTGTGGGTTACACCACAGAGCCTAGGACTTGCCAATCAGAAGGGTGGCTGTTCGAATCCCTGAGACGGGGTGAGCTCCCGTTGCTCGGTCCCTGCTCCTGCCAACCTAGCAGTTCGAAAGCACGTCAAAGTGCAAGTAGATAAATAGGTACCGCTCTGGCGGGAAGGTAAACAGTGTTTCCGTGCACTGCTCTGGTTCGCCAGAAGCAGCTTAGTCATGCTGGCCACATGACCTGGAAGCTGTACACTGGCTCCCTCGGCCAATAAAGCGAGATGAGTGCTGCAACCCCAGTTGGCCACGACTGGACCTAATGGTCAAGGGTCCCTTTACCTTTAGAGCAACAAAAGCAACTGGGAGGATCACCCTCAGATGAGCTGCCAACTAACACATTGCAATAATGATTTACAGATGCAGACCTTGCTACAGCATGGTGAATTTCATTACCCCTTTTGGGCGAAAGGCCCAGGCAGAGATAATGTTGAGATAACTCAACCCAAGGAGAACCCTGCTAATAAATCGGGCCAAAATCTAGCACCTTGTTCTCAAAACAGCCAACCAGATGCCCACGGGAAACTCAAAAGGAGGACCTGGGCGCCACAGTGCTCTGCCCACCTGAAATTCCTAGCAAAACAGATATTTAGAGGCATAGTGTCCCCAACAGTGGAGACAGAGCATAGCCATTGTAGCAAATAGCCACTGATAGACTATCCCAGGGGTCTGCAACCTTTAAGACAAAAAGAGCTACTTGGACCCGTTTCCAAAGAAAAAAACTGGGAGCTGCAAAACTCGTCATTATAAAAATAACTTTTTTGTCACTTTTTTATTATTTCTTTGTTTGACCCCTCAGAATTACTCCTCCTCATAGAAATAAATGTTAAATTAACAAGTTACCTTTTTGTGTGTGTGTGTTCTTCACTCCCCTTCAAAACAGTGACCAGCGTACGTGCCCCCTTTCAATGCAGTGACCAGCGTACGTGCCCCTTACAATGTAGCGGGCAGGCGGGCGGGAAGGTGACGTCGGGATGGTGCGTGACTAACGCATGCACCACCCCCATGCGACGTCACAGCCAGTACAGTGCCCGCCACAGTGGGGAGTGTCGGGGCGCACAATGCGCCTCCTCCCCTCGCTAGTATCTGCCCCGGAGTCGTGGCAAAGGTGTAAAAGAGCCACATGCGGCTCCGGAGCCGCGGGTTGCAGACCCCTGGACTATCCACACCTCTGTATGCCCTGCCTCCTTCCCTCAGGAAAACCTGATCTTTAGAGCTCAATCTTTAGAACAGCAATCAGGTTTTCTGCGGATTGTCATTTGTTCCGATCTCAGAGCTAAAGAGCAGGTTTTCCAGGGGGAGGCGGAAGGGGGAAGGCGGAACCGCTTTGACCCATGCCTAGAAAAGTGTGGTTCGAGTGGGAAACAGTTCAGGCCACAAGTGGAAGTGAGGACAAGGCCTTTGGGCTTAATGTGAATTGTAAGCCCCTTCTTCCTCCTTTAATTCTCCCTCGTCTACGCAGAGTCTTCCTCCTCTACCCCCTGCTCTCCCACAGTATTCGTATTCCATCGATTTACAGAACTGTGCTATGATGTTGACAGTTTTATTCTCGACCCCTTTCGCAATTATCCCGAGCAAAGTTAGGGCGCCTCACAACTGCGCATGATGCCATGAATTACCTTCTTTCGCGCAAGCAAGGCCGCCAGATCCTCCCCCGACGACTAGGAGATCATACTCGTGCTTCTCTGAAAGAGAGAAAGGAGAGGAGATTTTTATTTATTTTAATAGCACAATCCAGGAGAGATGATGCTAAGTATCTGAAGAGGCAGCCTGATATTTGGTTGGTCTATTTTGTTATCCAGCTTAGGGCCCTTATACTTATGGGACCGCCTCTCCTGATCTGCCCCGCAGAGGACCTTAAGGTCCATGAATAATCATAGTTTAGCGGTCCTGGGCCCTAAGGAAGTCAGATTATCTTCCACCAAGGCCAGGGCCTTCTCAGGGATGGCTCCGACCTGGTGGAATGCTCTGTCCCATGAGACCAGGGCCCTGCAGGATTTAACCTCCTTCCGTTGGGCCTGTAAGACAGAGCTATTCTGCCTGACTTTCAATTTGAATTTAGCCTGATCTTGTATTCCCCTTCCTTCCCTCCCCCTACCCTTTTTATGAAGATTACCCGCTCTGGGATCCCACAGCTAATTCTCCCCTGTTCACCTCGCTGGCCCAAATAGGACTAATTTAGCCAGCTAGCCCTGGTGATCATCTAATGTTTATTGGATGGATTTTCCCCTAAATTGATTTTTGAACTTTGAATTTATTGTTATTCACGCTTTTATACTGTATTTTATGCTGTTTTTTGTTGTATCACAATTGTGTTTTAAATTTGTTGTTAGCTGCTTTGAGCCCGGTTTTCTGAACAGGGAAGGGCGGGGTATAAATAAAATTTTATTATTATTATTATTATTATTATTATTATCCTGGCAGGGGGTGGTTACAGGTTGCTCGCCCAGTGGTACATGGAGTTGAACAGGTGCTAGGAACCTTTTGTTCTTCAGATGTTGCCAAACTACAACTCCCAGCATCCATAGCAAGCGTGGCCAATGGCCAGGGATGATGGGAGATGTAGTTCGGCAACATCTGGAGGGCCCAATGTTTCACACACCTGGAACAGAACTTTCAGGAATGCCCTGGTTCACATATAACAGTTAACCATGGTTTAGTTTAAACATAGTTAAAGTCGATTGTCTGAACCACCCCCTTGGCTTAACTATGGGTTATTTACTATTACAAGGGTTGTTCAGTGCAGTAATCTATGGTATCAATATTTGGAGGGTCCCCGCCCCCAATAATGCTCCTATTTTCAGCTGTTAAATTGTAGATGCTGTGAAGTGTATCACAAATCTCTCCCGCCCTTTTTTTTTTTTTTTGCTGAGCTTCAGAATGACAGACAGAAACAGAGAGAATCACACAGAAATTTCTTTGCAATGAGCCTGTTTGTGCTCTTGCAAGGCTGTTGCAACAGTAGAAAATATTACCTCAGCTTTCCCCACCCATTCTAGGCAGGAGCATGCAGGGAAAGTACAAAACAGCTCTAAGCAAGGACATCTCATAACCTGGCACTGAGAATCTAGAAATTTCCGAATCAAGCATGCTGAGTTTGGAAAACAGTGCAGAAAAGACATGTTTTTAATTGCATTCTCGGAGGATAAGTCATCATGAAACACAGTGAGACTCTTATGACAGGAGTTGGGTCAAAAGTGTCCCCAAATTTCCATCTGTTTATTTGTGCTGGGGAGAGAGAGACTAACCCTGCCTGTCACATATTTCAGTGTCACAAATGGTTACGAGGGAGGGGCAAAAACAGCTTTGTGGTCTGCGCTCTTTAAGAAAGCCTGGGGAATTGTTTGAGAGGGAAAAGGTTTTTTTTTTTCCTTGAGGTTTATTTGCCAGATAGGCCGTTGTGCAAAAAACAAACAAACACCAAAGAAGTGATTATTTTTAAGCCTGAAACATTATCATCGCTAGGTGCACAAGGGAGGAAATGAGATTTAGCCAAAAAAACAACAACCGAAAAGAAACCCTATCAACCATCAGATTGCTGAAGTTTTGCTGAGAAGCACAGACAGTATCCGAATCGAGCCAGCCCTCCCCGAGTCGCCTCAGACGGCCCCCAAAATTGGCCAGATTGCATAACAACAAAGCAAATATCATAGAATCAGAGGATGGAGGGAACGTTTACAGGCCATCAAACCCAAGCTAATGTGACAGCCGGCTGCTTCAACTCCTGGCTTCCAAAGCAGACTGGTTTCTCTACTGCCTGTCTCTCACACCTTTAGCATCTTCCCCGCAGGCAAAAGAGGGAAGAGGAAAAAAGGTAAGTAGGAGGATTGATAATAGGTTGGACATTCCCTAGGTTATGGGGTGCGGCAGCTCAGTAACAAGGTGTTTATTTGGGGTATGATTCTGTTTGCAGTTCCTATTTTAGTTTAGGGAAGCTTTTTAATGTTTAACAGATTACAGTGGTAACCTCGGGTTACAGACGCTTCAGGTTATAGACAGCACTAACCCAGAAATAGGATCTCGGGTTAAGAACTTTGCTTCAGGATGAGAACAGAAATCGTGCTCCGGCGGCACAGGGGCAGCGGGAGGCCCCATTAGCTAAAGTGGTGCTACAGGTTAAGAACAGTTTCAGGTTAAGAACGGACCTCCAGAATGAATTAAGTACTTAACCCGAGGTACCACTGTATTGTATTTTAATATTCTGTTGGAAGCAGCCCAGAGTGGCTGGGGAAACCCAGCTAGATGGGCAGGGTATTATTATTATTATTATTATTATTATTATTATTATTATTATTACAGTGGTACCTCAGGTTAACGGTTCTTAACCTGAAGCACCACTTTAGCTAATGGGGCCTCCTGCTGCTGCCGCGCTGCCGGAGCAAGATTTCTGTTCTCATCCAGAAGCAAAGTTCTTAACCTGAGGTACTATTTCTGGGTTAGTGGAGTCTGTAACCTGAAGCGTATATAACCTAAAGCATATGTAACCCGAGGTAAAGGTAAAGTAACCATTAGGTCCAGTCGTGGCCGACTCCGCGGTTGCGGCGCTCATCTTGATTTACTGGCCGAGGGAGCCGGCATACAGCTTCCGGGTCATGTGGCCAGCATGACTAAGCTGCTTCTGGCGAACCAGAGCAGCGCACAGAAACGCGGTTTACCTTCCCGCCGGAGTGGTACCTATTTATCTACTTGCACTTTGACGTGCTTTTGAACTGCTAAGTTGGCAGGAGCAGGGACCGAGCAACGGGAGCTCACCCCGTCGCAGGGATTCGAACCACCGACCTTCTGATCGGCAAGTCCTAGGCTCTGTGGTTTAACCCACAGTGCCACCCGCGTCCCAACCTGAGGTACCACTGTATTATTATTATTTTGGGGGGGGCTGCAGCATAGTGGTGGAGCACCTGGTTCACATTGCGGAAGGTCCTGGGTTCAAATCCCCGAAATCTTCAGGTGGGGCTGGGTGAGACCCCCTTGTCTGAAACCCTGGAGAGCTGAAGTCGGTCAGTGTCTAAGACAATATTGAGTTGGATAGACCAATGGTCTAACTCTGTTCCTATGTACTTAGTATTATCAGAATAACCGTCTATTAGATTCCTTACCTATCCTTCACCACAAGGTCCCAGGGGAGGTGAAAACAATGCAAAAATATAAGATAAAAAATATATATAAAAATGCAAGATTAAAATCGGTTAAGACAGTTGGCAGTCAAAAGAATATACCGCATTGCAGGGAGTGCAAGAGAATCTTCCCTTGCAAGGCTGATCTCTATGAACACAGACTCAAACTGTGTACACACATTACACTTAACGCATATAAAGGTAAAGGTACCCCTGCCCGTACGGGCCAGTCTTGACAGACTCTAGGGTTGTGCGCTCATCTCACTCAAGAGGCCGGGAGCCAGCGCTGTCCGGAGACACTTCCGGGTCACGTGGCCAGCATGACAAGCTGCATCTGGCGAGCCAGCGCAGCACACGGAACGTCGTTTACCTTCCCGCTGGTAAGCGGTCCCTATTTATCTACTTGCACCCGAAGGTGCTTTCGAACTGCTAGGTTGGCAGGCGCTGGGACCGAGCAGCGGGAGCGCACCCCGCTGCGGGGATTCAAACCGCCGACCTTTCGATCGGCAAGTCCTAGACGCTGAGGCTTTTACCCACAGCGCCACCCGCATCCCTAAAGAGGGAAAGAGGAAAAACGCATATGGCTTTCCCCAAAGAATGCTGGGAACTGTAGTTCACCCTCACAGAGCTATAGTTCCCAACAGCCTTAACAAACTAGATCCTTTGGGGTGAGTCAGGTGAGTCAGCTCAGAAGCAGATCCTGCTGTGGTTCGAAGGGCCTCCCCGCCAAATTAGCAATGTTAATAAATACAGTATTCAAATTGCTACGATCTTTTAAAAATGGGTCTAACTGTATTTTGAATGTTGTACCACCACAGTGACTGGATGGGTGCTCACATCAAGGAAACCCCCCTCCCCCCCAAAAGCTTTCCTGAATATAACAGGTTTTTTAAACTAGATTGTTGTTCAGTTTCATTACTTTTGTACTTGATCGATTAAAGATTAAAGTTGTGAATTGCTCAGAGACAGTGGTTAATTGGGCTGCACAGTGGACGCTCAGGTTGCGAATGTGATCCGTGTGGGAGGCACGTTTGCAACCCACAGCGTGCGCAACCCGCAGCGCCACGTCTGCGCACGTGCGGGTTGCGATTCAGCGCGTCGGCGCATGCGCAAAGTGCAATTTAGCGCTTCTGCACATGTGCGACCGCTGAAACCCAGAAGTAACCCATTCCGGTACTTCCGGGTTTCGGCGGGTCCGTAACCCGAAAAAACACAACCTGAAGCGTCTGTAAGGTATGACTGTATATGAATGTGCCAACCAAAACAACAAATCTCCCCATAAGCATAGCATAGTAAGCGCCATTAGACAGTGGAACAGACTCCCACAAGAAATGGCGGACTCTCATTCCTTGGATGTTTTTAAGCAGAGGTTGGATGGACATCTGTCATGTGTGATCAAGCTGAGATTCCTTCATTGCAGAGGGTTGGACTAGATGACCCTTGGGGTCACTTCCGACTCTACAATTCTATGATTTTGTATCAGGTAAAAGGCATGTCTACAATAGTTCTCCCTGACATCTAACGCAGGAAGATTTATTTGTAATAGTGCATCTAGTCATGGAAGTGAACACCTGCAGTTTGAAGAGCTACAAGACAGAAACAGGTTGATCCCTAGAGTAAGAACTAGGTCTTGCCACCCGGATAAAGTAAACAGTAAGCTTGGAACAACCTCTTTGTCTAGTCAGCTGGAGCGAGTGCGAATCACAGCCAGGTAATCAAGCAAAGGGCCTAATTGCAGTTGGTAGATTTTAGGTAACCAAAGAAAGGTACATGGGCAGGTGAGTGAAGATGTGATAACACTGGTGGACTTTGTGACAAGGCCCCTCACAGAAGCACCTTTCAGAGAAAGAATGTAATTGTGCAAGAAGGTACCATCCAGGCAACACAATTATTTCATAGCTGACACTTTTTAAGCTACTACAGCAAGAGAAAAGCCCTTGTGGAGACTTGCATATAGGCCTGTTTGGCACACGCAAGTCAAACCATGGTTTAGTGTGAAGACAGGAAAGAGATTACCTGGCCTTTGTGTTACTGAAATCCAGGCTTGCGGTTTACTTTTCTCCAGACTAATCACAACCTGTAAAACCAAGAACAAACCGGGAGCCCACATGTTCACACTAAACCATGGTTTGGCGTGGAGTGCTGTGGAAGCAAGCACACAAACCAATTGCAACATATCCTATTCTGGACAGAGCACAAAACACTGGTTGGTCTTTTAAGATGTCACTGGATTCTTGCATTTTATTTCATAGCTTGGAACCCTATGATTTGCAGGTCTATGTAGATGGCAGGCCATCAGCTGTTGACAGAAATCAATTATTTGTATTTACAAATGGGTGCTTTGTTGACATAATTCTCCCACTTGACAAAACCTGAAGGATTTGGGCCTAGCATACTTTAAGGAGCACCTCAGACCTTTTATCCCAGCTCAGTCACTGATATCATTCAGCACGGATAGCCATCTTTTATGTTATAGAGGCCTAAACGGCCTCAAATAGAATTTGGGCATTTTAGGTTGTGGAACATTCTTCCGGCAGAGATGCGACAGGCACTCTCGCTTTTGACTTTCAAGTGTCTCTTAAAAACCTTTTTATGTCTTTGTAGAACTTTTATTTTTGAATAGCCAGTACACCCCTGTGCATTTTTATTTTATCTTTTAAATTGTGTTTTAGGATTCAACACCGTACACCGCCTTGATATTTCGTATTTCTGGTGGTACAGAAATACTTTGACAAACAAATAAAACTCTTCCCTTCGCACTGCTAAATTAACCTGAGGACTGGCAGATCCAAAAATGTAAATAACCATCTTGGTACCCACTCACCATTTTTGTGTGTTATTTCTAATTTCTTGATACAGGTCACCCACCTAAGGTACAGGTCACCCACCTAAGATATGTGCTCTGAAACACCCTACCTATAATTGGCAAGGCAGGCATTCAACAGGTGGAGCATTCCAGGCACTTGGTTTGGACCCCTCTTCTCTATCCTGGCAGAAGTCTAACTGATAGAGCATGGCATGGCAAGGCAGGCATTCAACGGGTGGAGCATTCCAGGCACTTGGGTGGGACCCCTCTTCTCTAACCTAGCAGAAGTCCAACTGGTATATATGTATATATATATCTCACATAGGTGTCAACTTTTCCCTTTTCTTGCGAGGAATCCTATTCGGAATAAGGGGATTTCCTTTAAAAAAGGGAAAACGTTGACAGCTATGAGATATATATCTATATAAACACACACCCTGCTTTAGTGTAGGGAAAAACACAAAGCAGGTACCCCCCGCCCAAAAAAGATAAAGCAATAAAAGTATCCCTTAAAAAATCAGGACCAGTTAAAAACATACAGAAAGTTAAGACCACAATAAAATAGACTAAAGCTGCACAGATTTTCTAAGCGTAATAATGACAATTGCTGGCTGCTCTTTTTCTTCCCTGCCTCCTACTGTCGTGGCTTAAACCGGTGGTATAGCAGGCAGGAATTCAACAGATAAAGCCTCCCCCAAATAGGGGAGAATGCAAAGGCGGAACCCCAGGCTGGGAAGGCTTCCCCGGTTGGATTCCTGCCTGCCAGGGTCCTCTCCTCTCCAGCCCAGCTTTGCAGAGGCGCCTGCTCCGTCTCCGCCCGCCTGCGACCCCCGCCGACCATGGGGGATCCCCGTACCTGAAGACAGGGCCCGCGCTGTACGGCAGAGCCCGGGCTTGCGTAGGAAGCGCGGGCTTGCTCGGCACAGCGCCGCCATGCTGCTGTACGGCAGCCCAGCTTCCCCACGAGGACCCCGGCCCTCGGATCAGGGGCTGCCCGCGCGAGTGCCTGGCTGCCTGCTCGCGCCGCCTCAGACGCCCCGTCGCCGAGGGAGGAGGAGGAGGAGCCAGGCGGGCGGCGCGGAGAAGGGTCGCCTTCGGTGCCGGGTAGGTGAGACTCGCGGGGGAGGAGTCCGCGGTGGGAAGGGCCCAGCCCAATGGGTGGGGCCGGAGAGGGAGGGGCCAGCCACCTCTCCTCTTTCCTGGCAGAGGTCCAACTGGTAGAGCACGGCTTGGCAAAGGCAGGCATTCAACAGGTGGAGCCCTACAGGCAGTACAGTGCACCCATCTAAGATACGTGCTCTGAAACACCCTGCCTATAATTGTCAAGGCAGGCATTCAACAGGTGGAGCATTCCAGGCACTTGGGTGGGACCCCTCTTCTCTACCCTGGCAGAGGTCCAACTGGTGGAGCATGGCTTGGCAAGGCAGTCATTCAACAGGTGGAGCATTCCAGGCACTTGGGTGGGACCCCTCTTCTCTACCCTGGCAAAGGTCCAACTGGTGGAGCATGGCTTGGCAAGGCAGGCATTCAACAGGTGGAGCATTCCAGGCACTTGGGTGGGACCCCCTTCTCTACCCTGGCACAGGTCGGTAGAGTAGGGCTTGGCAAAACAGGTGGAGCAATCCAGGCAATTGGTTTGGGGCTCTCTTTACCCTAGCAGAGGTCCAACTGGTAAAGCACTGCTTGGCAAAGGCAGGCATTCAACAGGTGGAGCATTCCAGGCACTTCATTTGGAGCCCTCTTCCCTACTCTGGCAGAGGTCCAACTGGTAAATCACAGCTTGGCAATAGCAGGCATTCATTAGGTGGAGCATTCCAGGCACTTGGGTGGGACCCCTCTTTTCTACCCTGGCAGAGGTCCAACAGGTAAAGCATAGCTTGGCAAGGAAGGCATTCAACAGGTGCAGCATTCCTTTGTGCAGATAGCAGATTGGGAATGGCTGGAAGGTGGTGGTTCTTGTTTGCACTGCAGTGTTTGTGTGATTCTGCTTACTAAGACAGACTTGTTGCTGTTTAGTCAGAGCACATCACAAGAGGAACAGGAAGGAAATGATGTCTGTGCAACCAAAGACAGGCATAGGCAAACTCGGGCCAACAGATGTTTTGAGACTACAATTCCCATCATCCCAGACTACTGGTCCTGCTAGCTAGGGATGATGGGAGTTGTAGTCCCAAAACATCTGGAGGGCCGAGTTTGCCTATGCCTGTCCAAAGATGTTGATGAACTGTAGCTCTATGACTTTGTCAAATCCCCCATGCCTCCTTCCCAAAGCCCAGTGCCTCCTTACCCAGCTTTAGGAAGGCAGCATGAGGGCTGCGGGGACGTCAAAGGTTGCCGAGGGCCACCAAAAAGCCTTTGAGGGCCACATACAGCCCTCAGGCCATGTGTTGGGCCGCCCTGAATTCTAGACAAAGGTCCCAGGTTCCCCCATCCTGATATATGAACTGACAGACAACCCAACCTGAGGGCAGTCAGCCCTGTATAGAATAGTGCATTTGAAAACATGCACTACCAAAATGAAACCTCAAGTCAAATCCTTGCAGGCTGCCTGGGTTACTTCCAGCATTCCCTATCGCTGCAACTTGACACAAAAACCCTGCACAAACACTATGCAATACAAAAAAAGGCAAAAGGACCCCTGACCATTAGGTCCAGTCGTGGCCGACTCTGGGGTTGCAGTGTTCATATTGTTTTATTGGCTGAGGGAGCCGGCGTACAGCTTCCAGGTCATGTGGCCAGCATGACTAAGCCGCTTCTGGTGAACCAGAGCAGCGCACGGAAACGCCCTTTACCTTCCTGCCAGAGCGGTACCTATTTATCTACTTGCACTTTGACGTGCTTTCGAACTGCTAGGTTGGCAGGAGCAGGGACCGAGCAACGGGAGCTCACCCCGTCACGGGGATTCGAACCACTGACCTTCTGATCGGCAAGCACTAGGCTCTGTGGTTTAGATCACAGTGCCACCCGCGTCCTTATATGCAATAGAAAGAAATATCATTATCCCTACCCCATCCTCTGCCATCGCTGTCTCTCCCGGTGCCAGATTTTCGTATAAGCTAAACAAGCTATAGCTTAGGGCCCCACTCTGTTGGGGGCCCCCAAAAAAATTAAAGGAAAAAAACCCTGGATGTACATTTCCAAAATATAAGATAAAAAACAAATAGAATAAAACCTACATACAGCAACAGTGTTTTGTGTTGTGTAGGCTCCTGTGATGGAAGTAATGGGTCCCGCCCGCTAGCCTGCTCCCTAAAATATCATTGGTTTGCTCATTTCTATATATAGGGTGCCTAGGATGAGTGTTTGTAAACTGTGTTTCTAAAGGAACTTTTGTTACTGCCAAATGCCAGTGTGTCTGCATTATTAAGTTCGTTATGAATAAAAAATCATTTTAAGTTAGAGCTTAATAATTATTTCACTATTAATATACTTCTTCTTAATTGTATTTCACTATTAATATACTTCTCCGTAACTGTATTTCAGTTCCAACAATTACTTGATAAAATACATATTTTGTTATGTGCAAACGGCTTTAGATACCTATTAGGTCCATAAATTACCATATAGCATATATTCAATGCAAAAAAACAGGCACAATTTGTTGTTGACAAAGGACAGCTGGACAAATAAAGGGCCCCATTACCTTCAGTAGCTTAGGGCCTCATCAAACCTAAATCCTGCCCTGCTCTCTCCCCTCGCTTTCCCCCCAATATCAATAACAATAAAGTCCCACACCGAATGTAAACGAACTGTGAAAAAGACTTGATTAATTGAAAGTGGAGACGCTGTATGTACTTTTCCTTGTTTATTTGTTTGCTTTGTAACGCAGAAAATCTTTAATAAAAATTAATTTCAAAACAGTGTGAGTCTTTTCATATGAAATTGTATTTGCCACGCACGTAATCACCTTGAAGACAGTTATCTTGGAGGTAATTACTCGCCTGGTACTGATACGGCAAGTGCAATTTCGAATGAAAGAACTTCACCTCCACAGAGAGCGGAATAAATTCCTTCCATCCATTCATGTCCAAGAGCAGTTCTTTGTTGGCCCAACTTCCTGTGCATCAAGGTGACGTTAGAGACATTAGAAGCTTTGTGGGCACAGACGGGATTTAATTTCACCTCTGGCTCCTCTTTTCAATGCCAATACCTGGCCATATAAACATATAAAAGGTTGATTATAAAGGAAGGGAATTGTTGGTGTAACGTGATCCAAAAACCTTAGTCTCTTCCAGCATTGGTCTTTGCATGTTGAAAGCCCAGCGGCTTTGCTTAGTCATGGATTCATCACATTGCTATCTATCGAAACATTTGTTGAAGCAATGTGTCAGCATAGACGCCGTGTTGTGAAATGTACACTGCGCACGTCTAAAAAACAGAGAGGGGTGAATCGTTTTGCCCCTTTGATGGAATTGTTGTTCCACTCCTTTGCAGAGTTATGCAGACTTACCAGTTCATAGAATATTATTGTTGCATTGCTGTTCATTTAATCTCTGTACCACTTCATATTTTAAGGGGGGAAGCAATCTCAAAGCGGTTTACAGCCTGCATTAAAACAGCAAACAATACAATCCAGAACAGAACATTGCTGAAGAAAGTCAGATATAAAGTATCTATTTAAAGCAATGTCATTAACAGGAAAAGGGACGCGGGTGGTTAAACCACAGAGCCTAGGTCTTCCCGATCAGAAGGTCGGCGGTTCAGATCCCTGCGACGGAGTGAGTTCCCGTTGCTCGGTCCCTGCTCCAGCCAACCTAGCAGTTCGAAAACACACCAGTCAAAGTGCAAGTAGATAAATAGGTACCACTCTGGCGGGAAGGTAAACGGCGTTTTCGTGCGCTGCTCTGTTTCGCCAGAAGCGGCTTAATCATGCTGGCCACATGACGCGGAAGCTGTACGCCGGCTCCCTCGGCCAATAAAGCGAGATTAGCGCTGCAACCCCAGAGTTGTTCATGACTGGACCTAATGGTCAGGGGTCCCTTTACCTTTAATTAACAGGAAACTAAAATATTATCTTAAATGTTTCAAAATGAAACATTACAAAGGAGGTCAAGTACAGAATGCACATTTAACGCAGCAAGGTTAAAGAAAAATAGACATCTTAAAACAGCTCAAAAGGAAACAGGATCAAACTAGAGGATGGTGGCAGGGCTGTGTCCTCAAATCGGAAGAATCATGAATAAGGTATTGATGGCTGTCTCACAGAGGCCTCCACCACTCACATTGTTGGCATAACGGCACTTTCAACCACTGGTCCATGGAGCTGTTGTTTCGTGACCATCAGCCGCTTCTGCCATTGTTGCAAGTGGGGCAGAAGTGAAATTGTTGATGCAGATGTTGTTACAGGATCAGTTCCAGCACTAATTTAATTCTGGGTGTTTGGATGCATCCTATTACTGTATTTTTCGCTCTATAAGATAAGACACACTTTTTTCCTCCTAAAAAGTAAGGGGAAATTTCTGTGCGTCTTAGGGAGCAAATGCGTGGTCCCTGGAACCAAATTGCCCAGGGGCAAAAAGTAGATTGTGCTTTTTAAAAAAAAAAAAGAAAGAGGGAAGGGGGTGTTGAAACAAAGCCGCTGAGCAGCTGAGCAGCAAGTAATCGGGAGGGAGATAAGGGGCTCTGGCGATAAAGTAGGCTGCCGGGAGGGGGGGAGGTAAAGACAATGAACTTGCAAGGAGAGGAGACAGGAATACTAAAACAAGCAAAGAGGAGAGAAATTAGAAGAAAAGGAGGAGCAAAAAACTGCTCCAGCATTGGCGCAAAAACGTGGATACAAAGCACGGATCCACATGGATCCTCAGGATTTTTGCATTGGGTCATCCCAAATTCACCATCAGATGACATAGCATGTCCATGGCTATAGACTGCACCAAAAAATCACGCATCCATTGTTTCATGGGGCGGCAATGGCGCAAAAACGTGGTTACTCACTGTCAAATCACATATCATGTC